CACACTCTCTCACACACTCTCTCACACACACACACACACACTCACACACACTCTCTTACACTCACTCACACACACACACTCTCTCTCACACACACACACACACTCACTCACACACACACACACACACACACACGCCTGAGTGGAGCAAACATGTTTATAAATATTTATACATCAGATTTGGATTTATATACATCTCTGGAAAAAAATTTAGACACATGATGTTTTTATTAATCATTTTCTCATTTTGATGGTTTAAGGCACATTCATACCAAAAACAATAACTATATTAGATAACTATATTAAATCCACATCAGTGCATGATGATGTTCTGTTTAATATAAATGCTGCAGTTTTGTCGTCTGCTTGAGCTTCTTAAAGTCAGAAGGATTCTGATTGGCTGTCATCGTTCACCGGCAGGAAAACAATCATTCTGAAAGTGAATCCAATGATCATTTTAACTAAAGTAAAAGTCATTTGAAAAGTCTCAGTCAGTATGTTTTCTTTAGTAGACATTTGTTTGTCTTTGATTTCGGGTTTTCATAGTAAACTAAAACTAAAGCCATTAAAAAAAAGCATTTTTTGTTACTTAAAATAATCTTTATAAAAATACATTTTTATTTAATTTTAATTTTTTTTAAATAAAACTTTATTTCAGCAAGTTTCCAAGGCAACATTTCTCATTTTCATTTAGTTTAACTTGATGTACTAAAACAGATAAAATTTCAATAAAAAATAACAAAAGCTATATAGAATTCAGCAGAACTCAAAAACAGCAGAATGATTAAAAATAAAACCAGAAAATATCAAAATTTAAATTAAATCAAAATTCAATGATACTAAAATTCACTCTCTTGACTTTATTCTGATTCTAACTGTTTTTTTTATTTCCTAATTTATTTTTTATATTTTATTTATTTATTTTTGCTCACATCTGGTGTTTGGTAAGTGTTAATATTGGAGCAAACAATATTTGACTATATTGTATTTATTTTATATATATTTTATTATATATTTGTAAAATATTTGACTAGAGTCATTTTAATATCACTGAGATACTATTATAGTTTTTTAAATATATTTTGAATTATTTTTATGGTTTCATTTTAATTTTAGTTAAAGTTTTTAATTTACATTTTTTTATACGTCTATATAGTCTGTTTTTGTTATTTTAGTGAAATAAGTTAAACTAAATGAAAATGAGAAACGTTGCCAAACAAAAATGTTTGTGGTTTTAGGTGACTCTAATAGCCCTTTATTTGACACACACGGAAATCAAAGGTTTCATTGTCATTATGACGGGTGTGTGTTTGAGTCGTGTGACATTCTTCAGATAGCGCTGAGTTTCTGTGAACACAGAACATGTGTTACTCACGACTGTAACATTGTAAGAATGTCATAGCTGTCTCACGCCCTTATATGGTCACTTCCTCAGTGTGCAGCGGCGGATCTCACAGAAACCATCCCAGAATCCCTGCAGTTCGGACTGTCCCGACACAGTCACGTGATCATGGGCTTCAAGAACAAGACGGTCAGAACCAGGTAAAGCCACCGTAAACCTGATCACAGTTTACTGCATGCATCTCAATCAGTGCATTACATCATCAAATCAGGATTCACAGATTAAATATTTATGAGCTGCTGTTCATCTGTGAGCCAAATTGATTATTCAACTCGGGGAACTTTCTTTAAACTAATATTCTGTGTTGATATTAGTTCCTCAGCTGCTAAAAAATGAAAGTAAAAATCAATTATGATGGAAAGGTATCAAAATAAACATTAAAATACACAATGAATGGACAAAAAAAATGTATATTAAAAAAAAAAAATATATATATATATATATATATATAATATTTTATATATTTTACCCTATTTAATTTTATAATATTTTTAAAAATTAATTGTATATATTTTGTCCCATATCATTTTATTATTTTGTAATATTTATAAATAAATGGGATAAATATTTAAATATATTATAAAATATATTAAATTAAATATTTCATACCTATATGTACCTTCTATATTTATTTTAAATAGTCACATATCCCAGACATTTTGCAGCTGAATATCTTCCCTAATAATTTAATGCTTCTTTGTGTTCCTCGTCTCAGTTTTGCGGTGAAGCTGTCGGTTCGGACGTTCGCTCACAGCGGCGTTCTCTTCTACATGGCCAACGCAAACCAGCAGGATTACGCCGTTCTGCAGGTGCTGGGGGGGCGTGTGCTGCTGTCATGTGACCTGGGGAAAGGCCCCGCCCACATCACGCTGGCCACGCCCATCAACGACGGCCTCTGGCACACCGTGAGTCCCGTGCACAACCTGACAAATGAAATAATTCATCTTTATTGAACCTGTAGATAAAAATTAAAGTGTGCATGTATTTTGCAGAGCATCATATCTGATGCATCAAGCTTTTATGCCTCATATAGTCTGATAGAGTGAGAATATAGAGGAAAAAACTGCTCAGTTTTATTCAAACTGAGCAAAAATATGAACTTGGTGCAGATGCTGCTATTTATATGATGCAATTCGTAAAGATTAGGGTTTAGAGGTTTAGAAATTCACATCAAATATGATGCAGTAGCTTTATAGGGTTAAACACTGATGTCTGCTGTGTTTGTGCAGGTGAAGGCGGAGTTCAGTAAGAAGACGGTGATGGTCAGTGTGGACGGGACCGAATCGGACCGCACACACACTAAAGGACACACGCTAGACGTGGAGGGGAAGTTGTACATCAGCGGACTTCCTGCCACATACACCGCCAGGAGAATCGGAAACGTAATTGCCCTCCACCAAACCTGTCGTGCTCAATAAACGTGTCAGAAACAGGGTTCCCACGGGTCCTTGAAACGCGCGTTTTACGCGTTACGTTAACTGTTTCCGAGATACTTTGTGTTGCATATGGCAAGCCAAAAGGGTCAGAATTAAATTTATGTCGTTAAATACGGCGTTTTTTACGGCGTCTGCTATCAGGACGACATATTTGACGGTGCTCTTTTAATGGCATTTTGTATGTAAACGCGATTTATCTATAGCGTACTTCTGACTCTTTTGGCTTGCCATAGTTGTACGTTGCCATGACGTTCACGCGCGCACGAAACTACTACAAGGGTACCTTAACGTTTCATAGACACACCGTGAAATTAATGTTGAATTGCTTTGCTTGTTAAGATAATGTTAACCCATGAGGCAAGAAAAACCTAAAAGCATATTCATACATCTTAAAACTTCTGGTTACATGAGCCTAAGCTCTTTTCAATAAAATCCATGCAAAAGTTAATATCAGATCATTTTAGAATACAGTATAGGATGTACCGAATATTCTTCAGTTTTATGCAAAACAGAAATACGACAAATAGAATATCAGATCTCTGGCATATGGCCAAAAATAAATGACACAAATAAGAAATATGTTGTGTTTGACATGAAAACTGTAACAATGTATCTTACAAGGAAACACGATTGCTCTCACTTGAAATGTTTCCCACATTAAGTCCTTGTATTTGAGGGTTTTTTTGGACCTGGAAAATCCTTGAAAGGTCTTTGAATTTTAACTTAACCAACGTGTGGGAACCCTGCAGAAATGTTTCTAACCTGTGGTTCTTCAGGTGACACACAGTCTGGCGGCGTGTCTGCGGGACGTGATGTTCAGCGGCGTCCAGATGAAGCTCAGCGCTGCGCTGTCGTCTCACGCCGCGGGCTCCTGCTTCAGACGCGCTCAGAGCGGCAGCTTCTTCAGCGGCAGCGGATACGCCGCTTTCAGTGAGTCTGACACTGATGATGAATGATGAGTGTTCAGAACAGAGGCTGACGTCTCGCTCTCTCCGCAGTGAAAGAGGGCTATAACGTGGGCTCGGACGTCTCCGTGAGTCTGGACTTCCGCTCCACGGCGCCAGATGGGGTTCTGTTGGGAATCAGCAGCACTAAAGTGGACGCCATCGGCCTGGAGCTCGTCAACGGACAGGTTAATATCACCAACACCTTCTCTGTGTGCTGAAGACACCACCAGTGTTCATTTAGTAACATTCATATACTGCTATAATTCTGTTCATATTGTGAATTAGTTTTTATATACTGTATATATATATATATTTCTGTTTTTGTTTTAATTTTTAAGTTTTAGTAATTTTATAGTTTTCATTATTTTTTTTTACATGTATCAATATAGTATTTTTTAACTTTTATTTATTAGTTTTTTTAGTTTTAATTATTTTATTTATTTTATGCAATTTGTCTATATAGTATTTAATATATTTATTTTATTTAGTTTGTTATTTTATATATACAATATTGTCTATATAGTATTTTGTTATTTTATGTATTTTAGTTATGCATTTTGTTTTTTATGCAATTTGTCTATATGGTATTTTTGTATTTTTATTTACTAGGTTTAATTTAAATTTTTATGCAATTTATTTATTTTATGCAATTTGTCTATATAGTATGTTTTATTATTTTTATTTACTATGTTTAGTTATTTTATGCAATCCATATTGTATTTAGTAGGTTTATTTTATTAAGTTTTAGTTATTTTATGCATTTATCTTTTTATGTAATTTGTCTGTATAGCATTTATTCGGTTTTATTCGTTTAGTTGTTTTTATGCAGTTTACTTATTTAATGCAATTTGTCTACATAATATTTTAAGTTTATTTATTAGTTTTACTTTTAGTTTAGTTATGTATTTGTTATTTTATGCAATTTGTCTATATAGTATTTAATATTTATTTTTTTTATTTAGTTTATTTTATGCAATTTTGTCTGTAGTATTTATTAAATTTTTTTATTTTAGTTTGTTATTGTATGTATTTTAGTTACACGTTTTGTTTATTTTATGCAATTTGTCTAGTAGTATTTTTTATTGTTTTTATTTACTATGTTTAGTTATTTTATGCAATCCATATTGTATTTATTAGGTTTATTTTATTAAGTTTTAGTTATTTTATGCATTTTTTTAATGTAATTTGTATAGCATTTATTCATTTTATTTGCCAGGTTTTATTTGTTTAGATGTTTTCATGCAGTTTACTTATTTTATGCAAATTTAAATTGTATTTATTAGTTTTACTTTTAGTTTAGTTATGTACTTGTTATTTTATGCAATTTGTCTATATAGTATTTATTCATTTTTATTTACTATTATTATTTAGTTTTTTTATGAGTTTTAGTTATTTTAATATGTCAATTTAAACTAAACAAAAAAGAGAAATATAGCTGAAATAAGATTCACATTTTTTATCTTTATTCGTGACCCTGCAGCACAAAAGCAGTGTTAAGTCGCTGGGGTATATTTGTAGCAATAGCCAACCAGATGTTGCATAAATCTCAATTTCACAAAATTGACCCTTATGACTGGTTTTGTGCTCCAGGGTCACATTTCATTAAAAGTTACGATTTATTTTTATTTTTTTTATGGTTTCAGTTTATTTAACAATCACTCAGGTCCATTCACACATTTACTTCCCCTCTTTGTTTTTATCATGTTGGCCCCTCGTGTGATTTCCAGTGTGTGCTGATGGTTAATAGCGTGCTCGTCCCGTCACAGGTGGTGTTTAACGTGAATAACGGCGCGGGCCGGATCACTGCGCGCAGCAGGAGCGCTGTGTCCATGTGTGACGGCCGCTGGCGCACCCTGGTGGCCAAGAAGCAGAAGCACAGCTTGAGTCTGACCGTAGACGGTGTGACTGTGACCGCGGAGAACCCGTACTCATCCTCCACCTCAGCCGAGACCAAAAACCCCATCTATGTGGGCGGATACCCAGGTACGGCTCCCATAATCCTGTGCACTCACCATGAGCCTGTTGTTCATTAGTTATTAACGATAACGGCACTGATGTGAATGCAGCTGACGTGACGGTGGATCTGATCAGTGTTTCTGTGTTCTCTCGCAGCGGACGTGAAGCAGAACTGTCTGAGCTCCAGAGAGCCGTTCCGCGGCTGCATGAGGAACCTGCGCGTCTTTAAGGGCCACGTCACCGATGAGCTGGACTTCAGCGCCGCCTTCGCTCACCCACACGTCTTCCCTCACTCCTGCCCGGATAACGCTGCGTAAACGCCTCCGGTTCATGCAAACACAGCTCAGTCCTTTTGTACTGAGGATGGTTTTAATAGTCCTGCAGATGGTTTGTGAATTTTGACTCATAACAGGTTTAGATTTGATACTTGTTCAGGGTTTCTGCGGGTCTTAATTCACCCTTTCACAGATGAACGCCTTAAAAAGGTGTTAAATCAGAGCAGAGAGTCTTAAATTCATTAAGTCGTGGCATTAAGTGTTGCATGCACTGGAAAATTAAAATGAAATGCTTTCCAGTACAAATATCTAAACATCTTTAAATCAAGATACATTTACTGGAGATGCAAAAATGAAGATCTGAGAAATTAAAATTAAGTGCTTAAATCAAGGGAAAAAATATCAATACTGAATTTATTTTCCCTTCGAATGAAGTTTATTTTTTGGAGCCTTTTGTCAGGTTTTTGTTCTTGTTTTAATCATAAGATCATTTTTATCAGATTTTTAGAAAACGAGACTTCTTATCTTATGTTATCTTCAGGGATTAAAGTGTTCCGTCGCTACGACGGATTTCCGTCAGTTCATAAATAGTCACCTGCTTCATTCCTGAATGATTCAGCCGTTCAAACGAATCAATTGAATGAATGATTCAGTGATAAAATCCGTGACTTGCGAAGTGTTGCTAATAAATCTCACTGTCCTCCTGTCCTCTTCTGTACTGGGTCTTCTATGAGCCCTCATACGGCCTGCAGAAACCCTGCTCGTTAATAAAGTGGAGCAGAGTGTTTTGCTTGTTTTACTGGTGATGAAAGTTCACCTCTTCGACATTCCTTCACTATCAGAAAGATTGTGGAACATTCCAGAGCCCTGATCCTGAGATTCAGACAAGAAGAACAGACACACACACACTCACTCTCACACACACACACACACACTCACTCAAACACACACACACACACTCACTCAAACACACACAC